CGCCATCTCCTGCGGTCGCGGCGATGGATGGCGGGAGCATGTGCGCGGGCGACGACGTGGGCACGAGCATGGCCACCGCCACGGCAGCGGATCGGAGCGAGCGGGCGATGACCTTGGAGTTGCGCAGCCGCGCGAGCGCGCCGGAACGGGGGAGAAGGCAAGTGAGGCGGGCGGCAACCTTGCTCCCGTTTGCGTGCGGCGTCGGCGTCGTCTTCGTTCTCCGCAGCGATTTCCCCGACGAGCTAGCGGAAGAGCCGGGTCGGGCCGGCAGGTGGCGGCGAGGCTGAGCGTCGGGCGTGGCCCCAATGGAGCGGCGCGTCTCGGTGGCGGGCGGAGCGGCAGCTGGCAGAGGAGGAGCAAATCGGCGGGGGGCGAGCTTCGCCGGCCTACTCCGGCCATCGCCGCCGCGCTGGCTGGCTCCGCTCTCCCCTGCTCCATTTGCCTGCTACACCCGTTGACCGCTTGACGCGGCCTCCACCAGATCTGGGAGTGTCGGAGGACGAGGTTGCCTACGCCACCATCCCCGCCGGCCATGCCGCCGTGGCCGACTTCCCCGGCATGATGGCGCTCTTCTCCTGTCTCCGTGCCTCTTCTCCGCTGCTCGCGGCCGCGGACCCTTTCGTCCTCAGTATTGTCTTCAAGTCCTGCGCCGCGACGACCGATGCGAGGTTCCTCATGCATGCCTTCGCGGTCCGCTCCTCGTCCGTCTCCTCCGTCTTCTCGGTCGCGGCGGCGGAGCCTCTCGAGGTGGCGTAGCTCGGCCAGGCTCGTCGGCTGCCTCTCCCCCATATGCCGTCGCCACCACCATCCCTGAAGACGACCAGCCCAGAGAAGAGAAGCAAGGAGAGGAGAGGAGAAAGAAAAGAGAGAAGGGATATGGGGCCCATATTATTATTTCTCACTTACATGCGGGCCACCACATACTTTTTAATTTTTTTCTGACTAGGATGCCACGTCAGCGAAATTAGACATCTATACTGCTATATGACCTAAATTACACGGTTTCATATAGTTTAGGGGGTGAAGATTTCTGTGTAAAGTTGAGGGACGACAGGTGAACTTATTCCTAATTAATTAGACCATGAGACCATGCCTGCTTTCCGCAGATTTCCAACTGGATCCTAAAGGTATATACTGGGCCAGGCCTCAGCCCATCTATGATCTGTCTATTTCTTCACAATAATTTTAAAATAGATTTCACATGTATGTGAATACTAGTTCTCTACACATATTTAAAAGCCCTAATCCCAAACCCAGCCGCCAATAATTAGTGGACGTGCACCACCAATAGCAGAAATGCCAGTACATCTCCACAAAGAAACAAAACAAAAGAAGAACACAACAGTGCAAGCTAGAAAGCAACAAAAGAAGGCACAGCTAATCATCTATGCAACGGTGGTCATGGATGGCTGTAGTTTTCTCTGCAACAGCCAACGGAACAGCGTTATCAAGCAAGGACCATCACTAATATAAGCTAGATACAAGACGCCATCCACCAGCTTCAATTCTTGTCGCACTATATCGCATGCACTTTGAGATAATCTTCTTTTGATTCTGCTCTCTGCTAGTAGTAGCTATATATATAGTTGACATCTCCACTCTCATCATCTTGTCCAACGATCGATCGCAATATTTGCTGATTAATGTGTCACCTGTGCAATCAGATAGAGATAGGATAGCTGTGGATAGGGATAGCAGGTCGTAGTACGTGACTCGGTGGCAACTGACAAAGTGATGAGCGATTAAGTATAGTAGCAGTCATATATCTTCAGTGATATAATCTACTTCACTGTAGCGTGCCTTATCAGAAAGCTAGCTAGCTAGACAGAGAATTGCAGAGGAGGCTAATTCTGCCACGCGCACCACTCATCATTTGTATCTCGGTTTGAACAACCGTTACAAATTTTTGGTCAGTGATAAGGTCCTTTTTGAGAAGTTTCTAACCAGTACAGTTTCCCCAAATAATCTAGATCTTCATCGAGATTCTGATAATTAATGCACAGTTGTAAAATGTAAAAAATAAACTAGAAAAACTCAGATTTTTCAGATTCTCGCTAGTTGATTGCCCAACTAGCTACTTCTCGTAGTCTCCAGATTTCCTCAAACAGGTCTAAGATTGAATAGGATTGTATATATGTATACTTATTGAGAAACTTCTTTAGTCTAACCGGCAAATCTGCCAAGATGGATGCACTAGTGTCAATTTGTACCCATAAGATGAAGGAACTAGCTAGCTAGCGATCAGGCAGTCTGCATGCAGGCACTAGCTTCCTGAGAATTTCTGCATGATTTTTCTTCAATCTCATCACAGTAAAACTGTCGGAGAGATGAGAGAGCGACCGATGATGATGGGGATCGAGTGAATTCAGGCTGCGCCATGGCCGCCGATGTGAAGCCAGTGCCGATCTGGGATTGTCGTTTCAGGCTGACGCCCTCCCCTGCCTGCCAAGACTCGTTTTCAACAGCGCCCATTTTTCTTGACTCCATCTCTCTGTAAGTCTGTACGCTTCAAAGTTCAAAGCGTGACATTGTTGTTTCAATTATGCGTGCCAAGACAAAACCTAAGTTTTTCTAACGAGATTAGATTAGTTGGGTTCAATTTGGTCTGTATAATTAATTATCCAAAAAAGTTTTGAACATAAGAGATTTTATTTTTTTATAAAAAAAGAGTAAATTTCACAAAAAAATAACTACACGTTTTGTGGTCCAAGTTACAGAAAACCACACATACTTTGACACTTGGCACTTAAGTACATATATTTTGGTTGTGTAGTTTCACAAAACCACACTATCGATAAATGGATTCACCTACGAAATGACATGGTTGCTTCACCTAGGACAAGGACATGGCATCATATTACCAGCCATCGCACGAAATTAATAGGATGCCATGTTCTCATCCAAGATGGAACAACCACGTCATCTCATGAGTGAATCCATTCATCAATAGTGTGGTTTTGTGAAACTAAACTAACAAAATATATATACTTAAGTGCCAAGTGTCAAAATGTGTGTGGTTTTCTGCATCTTAAACCTTAAAACATGTAGTTTTGTGAAATTTACTCTAAAAAAATTAAAGTGAGATGGGGAAAAAATAATTCATGTGTTCTATTAGGAGCGTTCTAGAGCGATGATACAGGCATGAAATGAAATTAATGATCTACTTTATTAATGCGGTAAATTGAAACTTTAAAAATAGTTTAGAATAAGTGATTTTTATGTACGAGGGTCTCATAGGTTGTAGACGAAATATAACTGGTCGCGCCTGCAAAAATCGTCCTCTATTTCCACGTACGGCTCCTTATGAGGCATGCCTGTAAAAATTAATTTTCGCACGTGGTCCTCTAAACTGGTCAGCATACGAACCTCTTAAGTGTAAGTGGGCGTGCCTCTTACATGCCCGCCTACAAGTCTAAGTGTCCTCTTTCCCACTCACCATCTTCAAAAAAAAAAAAAAATCTTCAAGTCATCCTTACCTTTTCTCACTTCCTCTCCACTCATTTCTCACCTCCTCTCTCTCTCCCTCACCTCCCCTCCCGAGCGGCTGGTGGAAGCGGCCGGCAGCAGCCCTACTCCGTACAGAGGCTGGTGGAGGAGGCGTGCAACGGCCTCCAGACGCGCGCGGTCAATCAAGGTGACGATGGATGCTCGCTGGACACCTCCTTTTTATCGGCGGGAATGGGGCGGCGGCCTTCGTCGGAGCTCGCCGGTGGGCCTCCTCGCAGCCGACCCCTCGATAGGAAGAAGAAAAAAGAAAAGAAAGAAGAAGATGAAAAACGTGATGACGATTGCATAGTTCTAGTTTTAGAAAAGTTCAATAGCACTAAGCCAATATAACGAGTAGTAATGTCATTTTTTAAAAAAGAATCAGCAAATTTGCAAAGCTATGAATCCAATTAACCTATATAAAAATACTTTAATTCGTTTTTTTTTTCAAAATTTGAACTTCCACCATCTGGGCAACAAAATTGCCTTTAAAACATAGATATAGACGTGGCCACTTTGATCCTTCCTATCTCTCATTTCCGTTCTCCTATCATCTTCTTAACCTCTTTGTCACATATATCGTGGAGTTGAGCACCTGAGCTTGTCACCATCGTAGACTCCTTAAGAGTGTTAGGTCCTCCTCGTTCCAAGTCCAAACTAAGCCGTTCAACACAAAGATCATCTAATGATAGCTGCTCTTTCAAGCCTTACTCCTAGCTTACTCATTGTGCTAAGTTTTCCTATGACTTATGTGCACAAAAAGTTAATTTAGTGATAAAATTAGTACATATTGTACAGTAATTGATTGGCCGGATGCTACCGGTAGTTACTGACTACGCCATTTGATAATTATGGGTTTCCAAAGATTTATTAGAACAGACACCCAATATTTAGATACGTCTTTCTTAGACAATCACCACCATAAACGAAAAATACGATAACAAACTTAAAGGGTATTTCGGTCAATTTTCTTGTACGGTTCGAAAATTTCCTCACCATACAGTATACCAATATCATTTCGTAAATAATAATAAAAAATATATTATTTTAAATCATTCCTGTTTACATATAGCCATATGTAAAATTTAATTTTCTATATTATATTAAAGTTGTCACTAAATTATTTATTTAATAAATATAAAAAAATTCAACCACATCGATACTGTTTCCGTAAAACGATAAAATATAATACATAAAACCTAGATAACGGTATCCCGTTGAAACGGGATACCCTTTTATGAGACAGTACCTGATACCTGTTGTGGTACCAGTTGTATGGTACCTGATACCTATAATACCTGTTACTCGGTACCTGTGATATTTAGGACCTGATATCTATGATACTCGTGCAAGAGAATAGTTAATATGTCTATCCCGTTGCAACGGGATCCCGTTTTGTAGCACCCCTCAATATAATATCGTTTTCGACCATTTTACCCCCATCTTCCATACCAAACAGGGAGGGCAAAATTGGGCAACGCGAGAAAAACGCGCGGCGCGAGGATATTTACCCGCCATCGCTTCTGTGATGGAGAGGCGAAGCCGAGCAGAGCAGATAGATAGCGCAGCGCAGCCCAGCAAGCAGCCTCGCTAGCTCTCGCAAACCTTCGCCACCAAGAACCCGGAAACCCCCTCTTCCAGAAGCTTCTGGAATCAATCTCCGGTCGAGCAACATGCAGGAGTTCCACCCCGTCCCCGGGCTGGCCGGCCGGCTGTTCGGCGGCGCGGCGGCGGCGGCGGCTGTGGCGGCGGTGGAGGAGGTGCGGTGCCCGCGGTGCGACTCGTCGAACACCAAGTTCTGCTACTACAACAACTACAACCTCTCCCAGCCCCGCCACTTCTGCAAGGCGTGCCGCCGCTACTGGACCAAGGGCGGCCTCCTCCGCAACGTCCCCGTCGGCGGCGGCTGCCGCAAGCCCAAGCGCCCGGCGCCGCCGCCGTCGTCCTCCTTCACCGGCGGCGGCGGCGGCGGCGGCGGGTGTGGCCATCGCGACTCCAAGAGCGCACGCTCAGCCGGCGGCGGCGGCGACGGCTCGGGCTCGACCGCGAGCGCCACGGCGACCCCCGCTGCGGCGCCTGCGTCGTCGAACACCTTGTCTGCTGCTGTTTCCCAGCCAAGCAGCGTCGACGCGCTGTCGCCGCCTCCGGCGCCGATGTTCGCCGACCAGGCCACGGCGTTCGCGTCGCTCTTCGCGCCGCCGCCGCCGCCACCGTCGCAGGCGCTCCCGGCCTTCGCGAGCTTCACGGCGCAGCCCAAGGCAGAGGAGGACGTCGCCGACGCACCTGCGCTCGCAGCCACGGAGCAGCACCGGTCGTCCTCGGCGGCGTCGTTCGCCGCACACAGCATCTCGCCGCCGTTCGCCGCCGCACGGTCCTCGGATGGGCCGGCAGCGGCTGCCGCCGCCGCCGCCGCCGACTGGGCGCCTCCGACGGCGGTGCTCGACGCCGGGATGTTCGACCTCGCCGGCGCCATCGGCGGCGACACGTCGTACTGGAACGCGGCGAGCTGGACTGACCACGACGGCACGATCTACCTGCCGTAGTACTGTGTCCGTCTGCTTTGACGATCGTGCGCGCCGCCGCGGCCGGCGACTTTGGCTCAGCCGCTTAATCGCCCGAGCCGTACGTGGTTAAGGATTAATTACTTACTCGACTTATTAATTGTTAACCACCGCCTTAATCCATGTTATACCTTACTTAAGCTATTGGTTTCTTCTAGTACAATATATGATTCTTTTGAGAGGTGTCTGTAAATATATTACTATCGGTTTTAATAGTTACTTCCTTCGTTTCACAATGTAAAACGTTATAGCATTACCCATATTAATATAGATGTTAATGAATCTAGACATATATATGCATATGGGCAATGCTACAAAATCTTATATTGTGAAATGGAGGAAGTAGCGCTGTTTATCTTTGAACACATGTTTGATCATTTGTTTTATTAAAAAATCTACGCAATTATTATTTATTTTCTTGTGAGTTGTTTCATCATTAAAAAACTTTATGCATGATTTACATCTTATGTATCTGTATAATTTTTTAAATAATATGAATAGTTAAACATGTGTTTAAAAATTAACGCTTATGTACTTAAAATACGGAGGGAGTATTAGCCTAATTAATTGATTTGTAGTTTTGCACAGATGTGTGCAAAAATTACAGCCGACCTATGTTTAAACGCTTATGTACTTAAATATGGAGAGAGTATTAGCCTAATTAATTGATTTGTAGTTTTGCACAGATATGTACCACCAAATTACAGCGGACCTATGATATATAAGCCAATTACTTAAACCAAGAGTTTGTTGTGATTAGTGAGTTGTGTAGCTATCAATCAGCTATAAACAATTAATTAGTCGGTGTGGCTGTCAGCATCAGTACTGGTTAATTAGGTTTCAGGTGATGATCGAGATGCGTGTTGTCCACACAGACTCACACTGAATCTTCTCTCTCTTGTTTGTTGATGAGCTAGACGAGGGACAGAGGGAGGAGGGAGACAAATTAAGCTATAGGTTTTAGCTGACGTCAATTGCTTCTCCGTGTGAGGCAGTTTGGATCGCCGGCCATGGCGTGTGTTATGTATATGTGACTTGACATTGTGACACACTCTTCTTCTAATTCTGGATGGGCGGTTTGTTAGTTCGGCATGCATGGCGACGGCTTCACCACCTTCATTTAAAATACTTGTACTTGATCCGAAATAGTGTGCATTGTCAAGCCATATACTCCCTCCTTCCCTAAATATTTGACGCCGTTGATTTTTTTAAACATGTTTGGCCGTTCGTCTTATTCAAAAACTTTTGTGAAATGTATAAAACCATATGTATACATAAAAATATATTTAACAATAAATCAAATGATAGGAAAAGAATTAATAATTACTTAAATTTTTTGAATAAGACAAACGGTCAAACATTTTTAAAAAAGTCAACAGTATCAAACATTTTGGGATGTAGGGAGTATATGTTTGTCATCATCATGACACTAGCATGGGACCTTACACTGCTAACGGGTAATTTGTGATGACTCAAAAAGAGAGCCGTTGCATATGACTATATTTATAACGGTCAACCGGTAATGATATCTATATTGGGGTCGAGAGCCGTTACATATATGACTATATATGTAATGGTTGTTTAAATTAACTGTTAAAAAAAAGATATCTATGGGGTCAAGAGCTTGTTACAAATGTAGGGTTCTGTGCTAGTATGACCTCTAGAATGGAAAGAAAATTGATTTTAGAATATGAGAACTCTTTGGAAGGTCTAAATATATACCAACATGTAACAACTCCTTTGGACTATTATTAGTAAATGTGCTAGACTACTTCATACAAATGGATTGGTGCTGTCTTGTGAATCCAAGCAGTACTAGTAGCCAGGGAGTGGAAGAGGAGGAAAAAGTGGCTCAAAAATGCATGTTGATACAAAATGCCTTGATGTGCTAAAGTAATTGATACAAATGGGTTGGTGCTATCTTGTGAATGGAATCAATACTAATGTGATGTGTCAAACTGACATACCTGCTTGCATGTTTAGGTCAAAAATGCCTTGATATTCATCCTGTTGGACATGAACCTCTTCTTGATGCAGAGCAGGGATTAGGTCTTCCTCAATGACAACTTCATCTTGGATGGCAACTTTATCCAGGAATCCCTTCCCGATCTTCTATTGGGGGTGAATTCAGATCGATTGGCAAGGTTTGGTGGTTATACTGCATAAGTTAGAAATAGGACTGCTGCTGATTGTATCATTTGAAAAGGAGTGCTAGAACCAGGGACTATAGGATTGTTGTTTAGTTTTGGTGGCATGTTTAAAGTTTGAGTTTCAAACTGTAATGTATGTAATTGGCGCTAATCATGCCTATTGTGGTGGAAAATATCCTCTAACAAACTCATTAATGTTAACTTGGACAGATTTTTTAATTTCATTCCCAACCTATCAACAACGGCAGTTATTCTCCAAATGAGTACATTTTGCAGTTCATTGAATGTGCCAATGTGTACTTCCATATGTCCATTGATGCAATTTTTCCCCTTCCTTAATTAGTTCTAGCTAAATAGGGAATAATCCCTTATACTCTTGGACGTAGGGAGTATAAGTTTTGATATTTAGGAACAATGCCTGAAACTAATCACTCAATCGATCTCCTTGCAAAAAAAAAAAAAAATCCTAGTGTTTGTTGATGTGGCACGTATAGCTATTTAAGGATTGCTAGGTTTTAGATGATTGTATTGATTATAGCCACTTTTGATCTCTGGGTTGGGAGAGACAGAAAAAGAAGAGAGGGGGGGGGGGTGGAGACAGGAAGAGGGGATATGTCAATAACTTACTGGTGACGGTGATGATCACATCCTCAAATGAGTATCGACCTTGGCAAATAAACTCTACGATGTTTTTTTCAGACTAAAGTTTTGGGCCAGTAGATGGTGGGAGGGGTAGGAGGTGTTGGAAATTTGGTCATAATTCGGCGTATTTTAATCTAAAATAATAAGATAATAAACATGATATTTACAATGGGATTTGATCCAGTGATAGTGATGAATGTAATCAACATGAGCATGCTAACGTAGAATAAGCATCAACAATCACATAATAACGCAATGTTGATATTGCGATGAACATTAACAGTAAAACTTCTAATTGAAATAATGTAAGAAGGTTATACCCCAAGAATGGTCCTCTGCTGGAGTTTGAGGCAGTATTGCCTCCGTTGGTGTTGACGGAAGCCTCCTTCTCCTTGTCTCCAGTGTTGCCGTTGTCTCCAGTATTCGACATGTTGGTGAAGGTGAAGTAGATGTTGACGAACAGTGAGTAGTCGCGCCTTGCGCTCCCCAAAAACCTGATCGCCCGCCCGTCCGTGTAAACGTCGCAGCAGCGCGTGGTTTCGGAGGCCTACTCTCCCAACACGTGTGCACACACTTGTCGGGATGGGATTACCGTAGCAGCAACAGCATTGGAAAATGGATGAAAGTGTGTCTCCCTTCTCTCACGGGAGATCAAATCCATTCTCATTTTATAAGAGGAATGGAAGATGAAGAGTAAGAGTCATGGAATAGGAAGAGGAATAGAGTAACTAATTCTCATCAATTAGCCATCAACCATCCTCCACTACACAACCATCAACCAACAATCAATTAGAAGTAATTGATGTAAGTTACCAATGGAACAGGAAGAGGAATAGAGCAACTAATTGTCATCAACTAGCCATGAACCATCCTCCACTACACAACCATCAACCATCCATCAATTAGGACTAATTGATATAAGTTACCAATTCCCTAATCAAATGGATTAATTCTCAAAACTCTTCATCCCATTGATATCCCATAAAAGAATGAATACACATGAATTCCTAGCATAACGAGCCTTGGAATTTATTTGATTTAATTGATTTAAATGGATCAATTACCCAATTAAATCTAACAGGAGGGTGGCTTTAGAGGAATAGACAATGGATGTGGGAGACCGATGGTAGACAACGAGCATGGACAAGCGGCGAGGTAGAGACCGTGTTTTTAATAATGCGAGCCGATAGAGAAGGCAAATAACGGTTGGATAGTGTGTGCAATCCGCTAGAGAAGTTAACAGATAGGAAGTTGGAAACACCTTGCCACAACTCATCAAAGAGAGGATGTGTGTGTTGGGGAGAGATGGAGGAAGGGAGAGTATGGTTAATCTAGCGGGCCTCCGGATGCCAATAAGGCAAAGGTAGAGGGCATGCGGGTGGCGGTGGCATCAGGTCTGATCTAGAGAAGGCTTTGTCAGGAGGAGGATTACTGTGTGAGCATGAACTTAACATGATTTGAATAATTCAAAAGTGTCTGAAATTGGTAGATATTTTCAGGTTATTGAAATATTTATAGATATACTTGTTACCTCATCACGATGACTGATGTTTGATACCCTAAACCCTAACCCTATGTTATCCAAGTCCCCGATATGTAAAAACGTATTTTCAAGTCCTCAAACTTGTAAGTACGCCATTTCGATCATCAATTGCCACAGCCCCTCTGGGATCCTACGTAGAGCTCACATGGGCATTTGCTCATTTTATTTGTCTTTTTTATCCCCTTTTTCTTCTCTACTTTTTTCCTTGTTCATGTGAGAAAAAGGAGAAAAACGAGAGAAGAGAAACGTTGTGGGGAAGAAAAAAAATAAAAGAAAATTTTGGACTGGAATGTTCATGGCATACCACTTTAGTGTCCGTGAGGCATGTCATGTAAGCACCACGTAGGATCCTGGAGGGGTCGTGGTAATTTGGGACCAAAATAACACATTTCAATAAGCTCGGGACTAAAAAAATGCATTTTCAAAGTATGGAGACCTAGATGTACAGTAGAACAAGTTTAGGGACTGGCGATACATTTTATTCTTTTTTTTATTTTCAAAGTTTCGTAGACTTTAGGACTTGAAAATGGATTTTCTATATAAATGAATTGAAGAATAATAATAATAGGAAAACACACCTTTTCAAGACTAAGAACCATATATGTACATAATTCAAACATATACACTACACACAGTTTTCAATAAAAGAAATAAATTTAGTCTCTACACCAAAAATGTATCCAACAAGACAACTGCATGTAATATAATGTTTTTTTATATTGGTACTAAACATATATATCAATAGAGATTAGAATATTGTTTGTACTGATGATAATATTATCTAATATTATAGCATAGGGATATAATATTACAGTACTAGCGAAGAAAAACATAGCATAAACGTCTTACGCCCCATCGTTTCGCTTATTCGTGGAATAAGCGAAACAACATATTTACAAATGAAAAGT